GAGAGAGAGAGAGAGAGAGAGAGAGAGAGAGAGAGAGAGAGAGAGAGAGAGGGAGAGAGAGAGAGACGCGGTATAACATAATTTCGGATCGGAAGCTGGTTCCGATATTCCTTGCTCCGCCGAGTCGTGAATCTTACTTTGACCTTCTAAGAGAATGGACTGGCAGTCTTAACTAGATTATTGCATTCCTCCGCTGGACGGAACTGATTACCGTCGTTTCTGACGCGAATACATGAACGAAAACTGCGACGGCCGAGTGTGTGTATCGGTAGTCAGTTTATAATAGACGGAGCGAAATCACGCGGCGTATTTTAAGACTCGCGACATCGATCAACCGAGATCGGCACTTTGGAATTCGCACTGTTCGTCCGGCAGCCCCGTTAATAGAACGCGATTCAGATGAAGAGCCCGTCCGATGGAAACGTCGGTGGGCCGCTTTGCAACTCCCGGAAATCTCCCTCCCTCCGACCCATTAGAGCCATTAAATCGCGCTATTAAACGATGCTTATCGACGGTTTAACGAGGGGAGTTCATTACCGCGCGAGCGCGAGGTAAAAATGCGTCGACGCGTGTCTCGTCGCTGACGTGCGACTACATCCTTCTGCTGCTTCTTCTTCGGCAACGTTGCGATACGACGCACGTTCGACAAAAATCTACGATCAGGAATGAACGAAGAAAGACACGGAAAAACAGAGAGCAGTGTGAAGGTTGTTAAAGAGTACCTCTAAAGTACCAGGTTCACAGGTTCCTAGTTTTTTGTTTTAGAGGGAAAGGAGAGTCGCGCGCATACATCTTGCCTTAACTATCATGTTTTATCATTTTGCAGATATGAAACCATCGGACAGGAGCGAGAAGGGCATGTTGTCCGGAAATGCGCAACCGTCGGACGTGTTCTGTTCGGTCCCGGGACGATTATCGTTACTAAGCAGCACCAGCAAGTACAAAGTTACGGTAGCAGAGGTACAAAGACGGCTATCGCCTCCGGAATGCTTGAACGCGAGTCTCCTCGGTGGCGTACTACGAAGGTAAGGGATCGATTTAAAAGCGATTTGCGACATCGATCATCTCGTACGCGTCGTCTTCGTCGTGTTTTGCAGGACGTGGAAGAAATAAACTTGCATTTTACCTGAGAAACGGAGACTTTTCGCTGAATGTAAAATTTGATAGAATAAATTTAATAAAAAAATTAGAAGAAATTTTTTGAAATTCAAAGAATTTCAAATTTTAATTTCGAAATAAACTCTTGGAGATAAAAGTAAGTGCAACAATACGCGTCAATTGCACTGAGAAAAAAATACTGGAAAAACTTTGGATTTTCTCTTCTCTCTCTTAGAATCGCATGTTTGAAACATTACAGTCAGAACTATAATTTCCTATAATTGTTATAGGAAATCGGACTGGGCGCCAATTAGAGATTCCGCGAAATTTTCTATGCGAATAATAATAACCTTATGCGAATGTTAACACTACTATTTTCATGTTAGAACAATCAGAAAATATGGTTTGGGTTCAGAATGACTATAATTTTAGTTAGATCAATCATTTTTTCTCTCAGTGTATGTACGCGATTAACTCGTGTGCTGTGTGAACTTTATCTCGCAAATCGAAAACACAGCCATTGATTCGCCAGTACTTCTCTTCTCTATTGCCTCTTTAGTTAGTTGCCTTTTGTACACAAGCTTCTCCCTACTGGCGCTCTTTGAATAGCTCTCCCAGCAGGGAGAAAGAGAGAGCGATTCATTCATCCGTTTTCGATCACGCGCGAGCGCTTGGGCTCTGTCGAGCTCTTAGCAGCCCATAAACAAACCGTTAGAATAATTTGGCGTTACGCGCGACCGATTAAATATCGTTCCCGTGAGAATCGACGCGCCTATCGGCAGGTAGGAGATCGAAGGTTCCCGATACCGTTGCCCGCACGAGTTGTTGTTCGGCTGGTACGCTCGCAGCACGTTATATCGCGTCATTTTATCGCTATTATCGCGTGTTTTTGTATCGGCCAAAATTAATTTCCCAATTCGAAAAGTGGAATGACCACCATCGGAGCCATTGGAACCGAGTCGAGTGAATAATCTCATTCGAAATTGAAGAGAAAGTTCATGCAAATTTTCGCTTGTCTTGAATGAGATTTTAGTCCGAGAAACCCGAAGAGTAAACTCGAGAAATTCATCAAAACGAATATTTAAAATCGAACATTATCCTGCGATTAGAAATTTATCCCATGATCCTGATCAAATTGATCCCCATCCGCGTCGAGGAAGCGAGGGATAATGCTTGCGCGTCGATAAAAATACAACGGATGTGTCGTGTAATCGCATGCGCAGAATGAAAATGGGACTTGGTCGCGATTTCTCACCGCGAGTCGTCTCGCGAGAGAGACGAAACGAACGCGGCGTTACACGCTTCCCACGAGGCTCGCTGCGAGCCTCCTGAAGGGCGCGGGCAATCCGCGGATATCATTCTGATTCCATGACGGTAACGAAACACGAGACACGAGTGTGTTCGCGTTTTGCATCTCGCAGTTGCACAGTTAAGTTTCACTTCCGGCCGCGCGTCGAAAATAATCGGCGTGACCGATGCAAGGCACGATGCGAGGGACAATAACGCGGCGCGGGATGAAGGATAGCCGCGCGGGCGCGCAGTGCACACCGTTATACGACTTTATCCGCGGGACTAATTAATAAAGAGCCCGCTGCCGCTGTTCGGCTCATCCGGTCTTCTTGCAGGCGGCCGTCAACCGTAGCGCCGGCAACCGTCTGATTTATGGGGGGCTCCTCGTGGGGGAGCGTCCTCCTTTATCTGATTCGCCGTGTTATCTGGCTAGAACAGTGCTCATTGCGCAATGCTTTATCACCCAAGGCATGGATTAATCACCGTACAAGTAGCCAGGCGTACATCGCTTCCACGCACTCCTCTCGCGCGTCCGTGCAACTCTCGCGTCGATTCCTCGAGTCGCGCAAGGGATGCCGCGACGAAGAGGGTGTGCGCCGTCCATTTCCATCACGAGCGAATGTCGCCTAGAGATTCATCGCCGGACGCGCGCACTGGGAGTCATCTCAACCCTTTATAACTTAATTGTTTCATTCTGAAGAGAAAATGGCGGAGCAGCGGGGCGAACATCGTGGGATATCAATTGATCGCGTCAAGTTTTATGAGCAAATATTTAGCTCACAAATATTTCCTTACTTTCAAGTAATATGCTATCTCTCTTGTATAATAATATCTCTTACGAGATCGACTCTTTCTTTCTTTCTTTCTTTCTCTCTCTCTCGACTTACACCTTAGAGAATTTATAAACATTGTGTTGCGCGCGAGAGGAGTGTCGAAGCCTCGGTGGCCGAATGGGAAGGCATCCCGCCCGGAAAGTGGGAAGGTTTTCAGGTTCGAGTCCTGGCGGAGGCAGTTTTTTCGCAACATATAAAATGAATCTATTCGAGTCATCGGTTTAATGGGGATTTTTGAGAATATAAATATATATATAAAAGTTTGGGACTCAAGGATCGGTCTAAGTATGGAAGGTTGATTCGCCACGTACGATGATCGAGAAAAAATTCCGATACATGCGTTTGACATGCTGGACATATTATCCTCCCACTATCATATTAATATTATTAAAACAGTATTAATATCTAATAGCACTCCGTGCTTGGCTCCTTATAGGCCTTTCAAATATTTCTGTTATTAAAATTCTGACATAAGAAATTAAATTCGTTCATCGCTTTTAGGCAAACTCTCTCGAGCGCAGATTGAGTGCACAAGCATTATTAGTCAGGGTTGCCCATAATTTTCAATCACGGGATTTCTCGCAATCGCACGGGTAAATCCCAGTTACAGCATTGCGCTTGTACATACACCTTGCTGACGACGCTCGCATCGCCCACGAATACTCGGCCGATCTCTCTCTCTCTCTCTCTCTCTCTCTCTCTCTCTCTTTCGGTGGCGGACTCCGCGATGCGCGGGATCTTTCGTGCGAGGGCACCGCCGCGAAATAAATCGCTAATAAAGCGGCCCGATCTATCCCCGATGCAAATGAGACATTAATAACCCACGCAGCTTCGAGTGTCAATTCCTGCGAATAAGCGGGCGGACGAGCATACGCCTGAGGCGTGCGCACGGCATCTCGCGCCGAACGCGACGTTATAATTCATCCGTCCGCATAGCGATCTGACCGATAATTACACGCGCTGGGCCTGACTCGCGCCACCATAGATTCTCCATCTCTCTCTCTCTCTTTCTCTTTTTCTCTTTTTCCCCTCCTGTGCCCTCCTTTTGTCTCTCCCACTGTGTATCCTCGGTCCCATTCGCGCGGCAGTCTGTGTCCGCGTGAATCCATAAGGATTCGCCGCGATAGTCGCTTGCTCGCCCGCAATACGCCTCGAGAGATCTTCAGAAATCGATTGCGGCATTGCGCGGTATACACCGGTCGCGAATGCATGCGAGAGTCAATGCATGCACTTTTGTCGCGGATGCACCGTCTTACCTCCCGTTTTCCTACTCTTCTTCATCTTTTCTCTCTTTCTCTTTTTCTGTCTGTCTCTCTCGTTTCCTTTTCTCTCTTTTCCGCCCGACAATCTTCGAGCACTGCTCTCTGTCTGTCTTTCTCTACTCTACACACAGAAAAATGCATTCGAGTTGCTTGCTTCAAATATTTTACAATTCTGTATATATCTGCGGATCTATCAAATGAGTTCGTCATAAACACCGAAAATTTACTCGAAAATATTTCGAATTACTTCGAATCCTAATAAATGTAGCATTTCAATCAAGAATGTTAAATTGAAACAAAAATTCGCCCGCTACACAGGCAACCTTTTCTCGGTAAAGTTTCATGATATTCTTGTAAAGAGAATCAATTTTGTGTACATAACAACAAGTGTCTCTGCAATCTGTCATATAATTTTATATATATATATATATATATATATATATATATATATATAATATATATATAATCTGTCATATAATTATATATTTTAAGACTATTGTCAAGAAAAAATATTCTACGTTGAAGACAATTATATTGCTTAAGAGAAGGACAGTAAATGAAGCAATCGCTTTTCTCAGCAGTAGAATGACATTTTCCTGTGTGCATTCTTTATTCTACCTGTTCGTCCTTACTCTACTCTGCTCTGCTCTACTCTTTTGACACGTGCGTTTCATTTATTTTCGTTTCGCCATTTGTGCACACACACACACACACACACAAACGTCAACTTGTCGGACACACTTGTCGGATTTATTCCGCGAGTAGAATAAGTGCGAACGCGAGCACCGGTGTCCCCGGTGTCAGCGATTAGCATAAACGTCTACTGGAAGTATCTCGCGATCACGAGATCGCGAGCGAGTGATCGGTCGGGGAATGAAACGGGACAGTGACAGCGCTCTCGCGGTCTGTTTCGTTGATTATGGCTGAATTAACTCGAACGAACGATCTCGCACGAAAGCGAGATAGCGGGCACGTTAAGCCGGTCGAAATATTACGACGTCTAATCGATAGCGCCAGGACACTTGGACCCATCTGTTTTAGAAGTCTGAAAGTTAAAGCGAGTCACCTAACCGCGCGGCCGGCTTTTGCGCGATCGGACAGAAGTTTCACCTGTCTTATTCCCCTGTTTCTAATATTTTCTGTTGTTTTTTCAAGAAAAGGAGGGCTATAAAAGCCAATATACAAATATAACAGTGTAATCAAACTAACTATAAAAGTTTAGTGTAATCAAACTAACTATAAAAGTTTAGTATATGTCCTCTGGATTTATCCAATTATATATATCTTTACTGAGGGAAAAATTACCTTCAAATCAACATATATTTCTTTGATGGATGCCATTAATATATTTATTGAAATCTAAATTCTCTTTATTTAAACCAAATATTGTTTACTTAAACAATATTTGATTTAAATAAAGAGAATTTAGATTTATAAGTAAATATGTTAATGGCACCCATCAAGGAAATATTTGTTAATTTTAAGGTAATCTTTCCCTCAGTGTTCTTGATATCATTTTACATTGCCACTGAAGAGAGTCCATTGAAGAACCGAAAAGATCGGTAATCTAATTTTTATGAAATAAATACTTCCTCTATGTATCCAAAAAATGCAATGTATCCAAAAAATATGCACTAACTTTTACAGTTTCAGTCAGTTTGATTACATCACTACAACTATGTATAGGCTTTTTCCTCTCTTTTCTTGATTTTATATCGAAAGAGCCTATTTAATTAATTTTTTGTTGTCTTTTCTTTCCTCTTTTTTTTAACGACATATATTCAGCTTTGCAGGAGACTGTTGTGCGCGCACCAGTTGTTATGTAAGCGACAGGTACGCTAATGTCATAGTTAAGTTTCACTTTCCGGGTAAAAAAAGTTGCGGCAAAAAAAACCGTCACATTATTATTCTCTCGTCGCGTTTCTCGTTAAATCCGCCGATAATCGCACGACTATTGCGACACAAAGATCGATCGAACGTTCGATCTTCCATTTTATTCTGTAAGGTAAATGTCCCAGTGATTGAACATTGCTCTAACGATTGAAACATTAATAATATCTTTGCATTTAATATCTCTAAAAAAAGTCTTTGATATTTTGTTTTTTAGATGCTTTTATGCCAATTTGCAATATTATTTAATGAACATTTAGTCACTGAATTTGTATCATTCAGTAATTAGGACATGATTAATTTTTCAGTTCAATCACCGACACAACCGACACTGCATAATACTTCATTGAAATTGCAATGGACTATTTTATTTTCTATTATATTTTTCGATTCTGAGAAATCAAAGTTTTATCTGTAAAACATTAGTTTCGTTAGTAATTCCATCAATTATTTATATAATAATTTTGATCACTTTTTCACGGTTTAAAAATGACGGATAAAAGACAGGTAAAATGCTACCATCATATTCAACTTACGTTACACTTTTTCCAAATCGATTCATTTTGTTCTTTAGGATTCTTGGGTCCTGATATGATATTCTCTCACTTGGCAAAACATCGATATGGGCAAAGCACGTCCAACACGACGTGGCCACGTAACAAACTCGGGTGAATAAAATTAGCATGGACAATTAACGCAGACACGCGTTATCGATCGACAGACGTCGTTTGCGCGTCACACTAATTGCCGCGCGTGATTCCGCGTCGTCTTCCTCGCGAGACGACGAAGGAAGCGGAAGGTGTCCTGAATGAGCCCTGATCACAAAGCCCCTCGGTTTACTAACCGTCGCGTGGCGCCCGTAGCGCGATTAACGATGCTAGTGTTCGAGGACGTCTCGAGTAATCTCGGGGGAACCCGGGTGTTTCCTATCGGCGGGATCGACGACGACGACGAGGGTGGTGCGAGCGTCCCGCGCGGGAGGCGAAGAACGGGAGACGCGCGTCTCTCTGTGCGGATCTCTCCGAGGATCCTTCTCGGCACAAGACTCCGTAATGAGCGCAGCCGCGCTCTCGTCACGTAACGGCGCGGAACGACGCCAATGATCGTTAACAACAAATACGAGAATTCGATTTGTCTTGGCGCGCTCGTCCTCGCGAACGATGCGTCGCGACATTCACGCAACGACGAATAATTCCCATCCTCCGTGGCCGCGTGCATCGACCGTTTCCTACCGGAGAGATCGATGCGCGTACGAGGGCCGCGTAATCGGTGACGATTATCGCGCGCCGTACCAAACCAGTTCTCGAGGGGGGCCCGAAGAGACGCGCGCGTTAATAAGTCATGCCGGATGGTCGCGAATTATCGCGCGGGTCGCCTTGCAGATCGTCGCGATCTTTCCTGATTTCTTTTTCTTTTCTCTGCACAGAAGCGCGAGATAACCTGGGGATTATTTCGACGACGTGCACCTTTGAATTTAACGTCGTGTTTCTCGTGATGGAGTTCGGTTGTCGTGTGATGTAACGCAAGTGACGTTATGAAAATTTAATTTGACTGTAAGAGAGAGAGAGAAAGATTTAAAACGAGGGAAATGTCGACGGTGTAGATCCGAAGGAGCTGATATTAAAAACCCATAGCGGTAAAACGTATTAATTGTCGAGCGAGGCGAAAGATTTCCGGGCGGGCCGGGAACGGCTAAACCGAACAAAGGTAGGCGATACGCGTTACCGTTATAACAGGCCGGAATGATGGATGGACAGGGTGTGTGTTGGGAAAGAAGTCGCCGCTACTATCGCCTTCCCGTTGGTGTGCGTTCCACGAAAAAATTTACTTCGCAACATCGTCGGATTAATAACACGAAGTGCCGCCATGCGACAGTCCGTGCGAGCGTGAAAGAATTATATCGCAATTTTTAACGGTGCCTTGATAGACTTCGCTCAAAAAAAAAAGAGAGAGAGAAAGAAAAAAAACACGTGAACACATACCCGATACAGGAGTCAGCGTGAAATAAAAAAAAGAGGTGAAGTTGAAGTACCAACGCTCGGACACATACTTAATCCTTATATTGTCTTGTTCTTTAAATATGAATATATCAATATCTTAACATAAAAAAATGCATATATATATATATATTGAATATATGCATATATTCTATGTTGAAAATATTTAAAGACCAAATAAATATATCCAGAATTGGGATACGTCTCTAGAAATTGGTACGTTTATTTTAGATATGAATATTTAAGCTTTCAACATAAAAAATATATATACTGAATACATATTCTATATATGCTGAAAATTTAAATATTCGTATTTAAAAATCAAAGCAATAAGAATGTCTCGAATTAGGTACTTGTTCGCTCAGCATACGCATAGTGATGCACTCTACCGGTTTTTTGTGTAGTATTCGCTTCAGTTTGCGTGCGGTTTTGATAAAAATAGGAGAAAAATAGAAAATATAAATTACAAAAGAGGAATGATCTTCTCTTGGGTTGTCATTCTAGACATGTGATATGAACATTTTATTAGAATCCGAATTTTGAAGGTTCTGTGCTTCAAAGGGTTAAATGACAAAATCTACTCTTCTCTCTTACAGAGAGAATTAAAAATGAATATTGCAAGGATTTTGGCAAGAAGGGAAAGACGAGGAGATATTCGCGAATGAATTCAATTTCTGAATCATTCAACGCGCGAGCGTGTGTGTGTGTATGACCATCCAATTACCAATTTCCCTCTCTCAGTAGAATAATAGCGGGTCAAACATCGGCGAACAGCAGATCACATCGTTTCAGTCTCTCGACGTCGCTCTGTTGGCGCGAATGTTATTTCCCCGAAACGGCCAACAAACGCGACGCGCTTGATTAATCGTAACGAATGATCGTCATCACCGATCAACGAGCGAATCTAATCGTTGCGAATACACGCATTATCGTGCCGAGTGTTATCCCGATGATTAAGCCAGATCTACGTTGATACGCGACAAAAGCGCCCGCTCGCCCGGAGAGTCCGCAGCCTGAATAGACTACTACCTATGCGAACGCGCACAGTGCTCCTTTCAGCTCTCCCCGGAGGAGAGGATGGATGTCTGTCCCGCGAGGCACACGCGCGAATGGCCGCATCCTCGAACGTACGTTGCTCCGCGGCGTCGAGAGTTGCTCAATCGCCGATGACACACGTAGCCCCGCGTGGATTATGCTAATCCACCCGTATTTCCACCTCCCCCTCTCTCCCTGGCCCCTGCCTCGTCCTCTCATTTTTGCCGCTTCTCTCTTTCTCTCGCTCGCTCGTTCTCTCACGCTTCTCGATTTCGCCTTTTTAAAGGTGATCACGGCGAAAATGATTAATGGCGGAGTTCCGTTTTGAAATTCTCACCGTCGCCGGAACGAGCGGCGGCCACGAGGGTGGGCGCTCGCTCGCGCGTGTAACCGGACAAATATCATGTATGAACAGTAGATAAAGTATAAATAATACATTATTATCGGGACACGCGCGGATATATAAAGTGTACGCGACGCGAGCTCTTATTTGTTTGGCACTGCATGAAATTCGCATGAAATTCGCGACGAATTGACCATCTCGCTGACGAGACGATCGAAAAATCTCAAACGAAACTCGACGAATTGTTTACTTGAAATGTTTCTAAAGAAAAACGTTGCAATGTTTGCTTTGCATTTTCCAGGGCGAAGTCCAAAAACGGCGGACGTCTGCTTAGGGAAAAGCTGGAAAAAATCGGCCTAAATTTGCCAGCCGGTAGAAGGAAGGCGGCCAACGTCACGCTCTTAACATCCTTAGTGGAAGGTGAGTGTGTTTCCCTTTTTAGTTTCCAGCTACCGTCGCTCACCAACCGTTTTTTCAGTCACTTCTGTGAGAATGAGCGAAAGAGAACACGGCAAAAAGAGTGCCACGTTAACGCGCGCTTTTCCCGTCGCGATCTTTCGTCTACGGTAGGAATTACGTAGAATTTATTGCCGTCGCCTGTGAACGGCGAATACTCGCAGGTACGAGTCGCGCGGTGCCTCCTCGCCTCGTAGAATTCGTTGATGACATCATCTCATTAACGGCGTATATTAACTCTTTCAAAATTCTACGTTCGGGCGCGTTCCAGCTGCAACCTTGTTGCGCTTAATAAAACGCAAAGAACGGCGCGTTTTATTTAATTGCACATTTATCTGCCTCGCCTCGATAATAACGTGAAATATCACGGCCAAAGCGCCGCTCTGTAATTACCCGTTAATAGCTCGTTAATGAAGCTCTCGCCAAGTGCGAAGCGACGTTTATCGAAAAACACAATGTGTCGTAACGCGATATCGTAATGTAATGTAACGTCATGTCGATTTATGTTCATCGCGCCTGTCCTTAATCTTCAGAGTCGCGTGGATGAAGTCATTTCCGAATCGGGAAAACTTCAACATTGGAAGACGTTTCCAACGTTGATACCTCGCGTGGAAAGAGATACTCAGTTGGATTAACTGAATGTCTAGTAAGATATAAACGAATCAAAAATCATTTCAAGTTACTAGAATTCTGCTCGAATTAACAAGATTCTGATTAACCAAATAACAAGATTTCTGTAACCAGAACTTACAACTTTAATGCTCGTTTCTACCAATCTTGGGTAACTTAACTGGCTGGTTATTTCCGCGGAATTACTTATTTATTCACTTCCAAGTCGCGCCATAACGTTGGCCGTTCTTTCTCGGAGGTATCGATACACGACAGACGCGAGATATCGTCGGTTTATTAGAAAAAGAGATTTACATCGCCTGGAGTTGATGGCGCTTAGAATTTACTGGTATATACTTGCACGCAACGCGCCGCTTCGCCACGTACGAATTCCCGTGGAATTTCCGCCGCGGAATATCGAAATCAATAACGGACGACGTATTAGCCGGCCGTAAGCGTAATCGCGGCGTTGCCGGGCGATTTATCGCGAGCGATAAACGTAACGCTTTCCGATTTACTGCTGCCGTAATTTACACGTACATCTCCTCCCCGCGCCAATCCTTACCTCATTCCCTCGCTGTCATGACCGCGAAGAATTACATTCCTCGCGACGCCCACTTGTCTCGTAGGGCGCAGTGATGAAATCATCTCTTCGGAATAGCGCGAGCGCACATTAAAGCGAATTTACACGGTTCGGACTGGATGATCAGCGGGCGGGATGAGTCATTCGCGCGCGAGAGAGGTTGAATGAATTTTTATTTAGACACGCAACGCGCGCGCTCGAAAGTCTCCACGTGAAACATCCTCGCTGACGGAGCAGGCACTACAGGAGAACAAACATACGAATCCGTCTTCACATGCCGCGTTTCAAATTCGGACGTTCCCCCGACGTTCGATTCGAGTTTACTCGCGCGTCCACTCTCGCGTGAACTCAATTGTATCTTGTTACAACGATACCGTTATATTCGGTCATTCAGCTCGTACACGCTGTGAGAAACGATCGAGTAAAAAGAGCCCAGAGTTACGCAAATTCTACGACGCAAACTGCAATGGCGAGGCAAGGAAGTTAAAAAAAATTTTTCTGAAAGGATCAGGGCAATTTTGGTTCGCTGTATATGAAATCCTGAAATTGAACTCTATTTCGATATTTCAATTTATCTTCTTTTATCGTGTAAATCTTTGACCCTAGAATGGATACACAATTTTCATACCCGAAAATAAATGCATGCGACAGTCGATCATTTCGACTCGTGTCACAAAAATTCAACAAAGCTCAAGAAAAAATCCAGTGAAATAATATAAATCACAATGACAGTATACACTTTGACAGTATACACTCTCACATAAAAATAATATTGCACGCAAAGTTGTCAACTTTAACGTTAAAAAGGAGCAATAAATGCAAAATTTCGTGAAATAATGTTTGCTCAGTATCCATTCTAAAGTTAATTACGGCGTCTTTTATCTCGACCGATCATCCGGATCAAAGGGACAACGTCCCTTTTGTTCTTCCGCCTCGCGACAGTAACAGCGATCTTTTTGCTCGCGGGACGCGCACTCGGTCGCTAATCAGTGGGACATCCTACGGGATATCCCGAGAGCCGCGAGAGCGCTTAATAACGAGCGCGCGCCGGCCAACAGTGCCCTAATGACGCGCGCTTGGAAGTTTGTTAGAGCGTTGGCACGGACGTTGATTATAATTTATGGTCGGTGGACTTCCATAAAACATCGAGCGTGCTTTTCTTTCCTCTCTGCGCGACGAGGCGAGGCAAGGCGACGTCCTCGTCCTCATCCTCGTCCTCGTCGCTCCGTGACACGCGCCCGACCCGACTTCTTGCCAGCCGTCGTATATCCCGCCGAGATGGAGATCTTACGCGACGATTTAAAGATTCAGACACGCACGTAAACGTGAAATTAAACGCGCGGCGTGCTGATTAAATACGCGTTACGCCGCGGACACGAGCTGGCAATTGCCCTGCGTGTTTCTCGCAGCCATGCGCGCGTTATCAACGACTACATTGTTACGGCACCATCAGACAAAAGTATCAATCGCCCAACATGTCTTAGGCGTGCAGTGTCGGTGTGGTCGAACGGATCACGAACATCGCAACGGCACTTCGCAACCTCCCAGGTCGCGAAACGAACGTCACTCGCGTGCGCGCGCGATAAAAGCAGGAGAGACCCCCTGATATGACCTCCTTCCTCGTTTTCCGAGTTACCTCGCAATCAATCCTCATACCTTTCATGATAAATATACGTCCCAGAGAGCGCGTTAACGCGGCAAATACAACTGATTGATCGTGTTTATCGTTCTGATCCCCCCGTCTGTCTGCTCTCGGGATAATGCAGACACGTGGAAGAGGCGCGTTCCCGGGAACTTTAAATATGTATACGATTGCCATTTGCATGCAGATCGCGGCTCGCGCGAACGTCTGCTGGAAGTTAGAGATCACTGTTATTAAGCGATCGAAAATCGTATAATGTGCCCGTAAGTATACGGATGCGCAGGACAGCCTCGTGGTGATCCCGTTCTTAATTGATACCCACGTCTCTATCGCGCTTTAATGCCGCACGAGATGATGCAGTGAGCTAATGACAGTATTCGTAATGTTCGCTTTGGATTTTTACGCGATCTAGCATGAAGATGCACAAACCCGCCCGACGGATCTCGCGTTTTAGATTTAGACAGATAAGAGTAACCGCGCGCAAGAGAGAGAGAAGGAGGGAGAAGGGAAGAAAAGAGAAAGAAAGAGATCGATAAGCGATGCAACTCGACGGCATCGCTGCACGGATTGTTCGGGGATACTAATCTGTGAGCCTTTGTTGAATCTCAAGCGTTAGGCTGACCATCGAGATGCTAAAATTAAATAGTCGTTATTTAGTAACGAGCAAACCAAACGAATGCCTCTTTGCCAGCAAATGCCCGCAATATAAGAGAAATATTCGAAAAATATTGAAGTTATAAAAATACATACTGAGAGAAAAAAAATGTGTGAAAAATAAAAAAAATGTATATTCGATGAACACTAAATATATTCACTGTAAAATCTGAATTCTTTTATTTAAACGGAATAAATAGAATAAACAATGACTCTCAAAGGAAGCCAAAGTTTTAAGAAAATGTATATTTCCTTATTGGAGAATATATTTCCTTATTAGTAGCCGCGCGGAGAACAAACATCTTCTATTCCTTAGATATTTCTTTTCTCAGTATGCATATCATAAGCAATCAAATTATTGAATTGTTAAATCATAAAATTGAACATTGCAACAGAGGGCCAAAACATCGACTGGGTGCATTCCAGTTCGATGACGTCTTTGAAGTGTATAATTCCGCGAAAAGAAATCGCAGAGATTTCAATCTGCTGAACAAGGAGGCCGCTCCAAATTTCCGTCGGCGAAAAGTCACGAGTTTCTATCTATCGAGCACCGTCTCGTTAATTTCATCTGGCTTCCTCGTCACGAAATAATAGCCGTTTTGTTGCAGCAACAAACGTTTCCCGACGGGTCACCCCGCGTACGCCATCGTGATCTTACCAAGTAAGGGTTGTCCAAGCGAGTTCAGGTCGTATCGCGCGCGCTCTCTTTTCCTTGGATTCGAGGATACGCCGCCTCGTTTTCCGATCCGCTGTTGCGCAATAAATACCGGCGTGTAAACGCTACCTGATCGTGCAATCTGTCGCGTACTACCCGCGAAAAAAAAGAGAGATAATGAGATATGCACGTGCCACGGTTTTGCATTATTCTAATCGTACGTTCGCAAGAAGCGCGACGGGAAAAAAAGGGAAGAAAAAATGAAACAGCTAAGAGCATGTTCAGAGAAATGACGTATGGCGGAATAAACGATGAGTCTCGCTTATTCACAGACTGCGTAACATTCTGCCACTTTGTCTAATTGAAAGAGTCTCGCTCGGAAGTCCCATTCAGAGATATCTGTAGGAGAAAATCCCGACGCGCGCGTTCACGAGGGGGGAATGTCGCTTGAGCGCGCTCCTACGGCGAGCACGGCGAAAGTGTGGGAACTTCTGTTCGCCACACACGGGACCGAACGGAAACCGAGTTTGTTCGAAGAATCGATTTTCCCCGATTTTTTTTTTTTTTTTTTTTTCTATACCTCGCGCAAAAATTCAGCGCCAAGAAAGTGGGACAGGCGAGAGTTACCGGTTTTCTTCCGTCTACCTCTGTCGGTCGACGTGTGTCGGAGGAGAGGAAAAAAGAGAGGAAGGAACGAAGCACAGTTAAAATATCCACGGATCCACGGATAATTGCGGTAATTATAGTCATTACGGTAATTCGATAGTTCCTTTTTATATCGTGCGGCAACGGTTCGGTTCTTAGTCTCTCGTCCCCGCTAC